GGGGGCCTGGGACTGGAAGTTGCGTGGGATCAATGGGTTCAGAACGTTGAGCTTGAACTGCGCCGCGCCTTTGACATCGCGGGGGGGGGGGGGGGGGGGGGGGGGGGGGGGGGGGGAGGGGGGGCACACTGGAAGGGCGGATGGTTTCCGGAGGAAGCAGGCTTCCCTGGACACTGTCTTGAAAGGTAAGTGGTTTGTGCATAGTACTCCTCGTCTTCGTGCCTGGCGAGCTCTGGGCGCTCTTCTTGTCAAGGCTGCAGCGCGTGCAGGAGACCTGGGGGGCTCTGCGACGTGGCCATCGTCGCGCGGGCCCATTATCGGCCTGAGCATGGACAATCCAGGTGCCAAGTTCCAATGTCTGGCCCCTATCCTTCCTGGTTTGGTCAGAAAGATCGAAGACCCCCATGGGATCGAGATCGGCTACCTGGGGCGGGCCTGCAAGATGATATACGATAATGTTCAAAGATCAAAATGCTGAGAGATGGGCTGATTGGAAGGCCTGGGCCCAAGATTCTGCTTCTGCTAAGGCTGGCAAGGCCGCGCACGCACACTCTAAGGTCAAGGCTCCAGCTCAGGGGCCTCGCGCCGCTGAGGGGCGGGCGCTCCAAGGTGGCAATGCAATTGCTGCTCTTCAGGGGGAATGGGGGAGGCGCTGGCTTAAGCATGAGTGTGCTCTCTCGCCTGTGCAGCATGCCGAAGCAGATGCGGAGCCTCCTCTAGATAGGCCCGATATGCAACCAGTTAGGTGGGCCCCCAGTAAGTTCAAGCACGACGCTGGTCTGGGAGTCGATTGTATGATTCCTAGGAGCTGGTAATTGCTGCCTGATGATTATGTGGATCGGTTGACGGGCCTGCTTATGCTTTGGGAAAGGTGCCCCAAGTTGTCCGGTAAGTATGCCACCCTCGTTGTGTTCCAGGGTAAACCTGACGGCGCTGGATTGCGCCCGCTGGCTCTCATTGCAAATGTTCTCAGGGTCTGGGCCAGAGTTCGTCAGCAGGTGGTCAGGTCTTGGGAGCGTTCACACTCTGCTTTATTCTTCTGGGGTGAGAGGGGCAAAGAGTCTCGCAGGGCAGGGTGGAACCATGCCATGATGTGTGAGTTTGCTCGGATAAAGCGCTTCCGTTCGGGGACCCCGTTTAGCGGCTTGGATAAGTTTTGCGAGCGAGTGGCGCCGCCGATGCTCTTTGAGGAAGCCAGCGCCGCAGGTCTCAGTCTTCGTCTTACGCGCGCGGCTATCCAGTTGCACGCTGGTGCTCGTGCCCTCGCGCTCCAGGGTGCGATCTCGGCCATCTTGCACACTGCAGGGGCGATTTGAGCAGGCTGCCGTCTGGCCACATCTTTTGTGCGATCTGTATTGTACATATTATTCTCGGCGATCACCAAAGCTTACCCTTCTCTCACGATCAGAAATCTGATTGACGATGTTTCGATGCAGTCCATTGGGGCGGTACGTTTTGCGGGGAGCAACTGGGAGGAGTTGGGGCGATGCTTAAGGAGGGTTTTGAGAAGCTTAGGCTAGTACTGTCTGGCAAAAAGAACAAGTACATGGCATCGTGCAAAGAGTTAGATGCAGTGCTCTGTGGGCTCTGGAACAAGTGCGGTTTCAGGTCTCAGCTTGCGGTGCGGTCTTTGGGTTGTGAGGCTATTGCGAGACGTGTTCGGCGAAACCCTATTGCGCGCGCTCGTCTTCTGAAGGCCTCCATGCGGTCCAGAAGGCCACTGGGACTGAAGAATGCGGGGGCTTTTGTGGACAATGTACAGCGAGCTGGACCCCGGGCGGCAGGCTTGGGTTCAGCTGCGGCTGGGTTAAGCCCCAAGCAGTTGCACGCGATGAGGCCTGCAGCAGCGCGCAGTTTGAGCAAAGACAAGTCTGGGGCCCTCATGTCGTTCAGGCTCAGGCCTCACCCAATTGGAGCCCGTATAGACCCATTATATTATACCATGATCGCGTGGTGCTACAATGGTGTAGGGCTATCTGGGATGGATCTCTTGGTTTTGATGCTATGAAGTTGATGTTTGAACGCGCTGTGGGTGACCTCTGGCAGGTCCGAAGACCGCGGAATGTATGAGCCGGTCCTGCATATGTATACATACTCACGCTGCGCGAGCTAGGCTGGACGCCTACTTCGGCCAGACAGGTGTCTACTGCTCCAGGTGAAGTGGTGGGCCTGTTATGGTAAGCAGTCTTGCGCTGCGTGATGCAGGACACTGGGCAGATAAAAGGGCTCTCCTCCTCAGGCCTCAGCTTAACGGGGCATGGTGCAGGCCTGTTCTGTGGGAGGGGATCGGAGAGCTTCTGAGAGACGGGCGCAGTCAGGTCTGGGGGCTACATCACAGCGTGTGTGAGACATGTGTTTGCCCTTGGTTCCTGGACTCAGGCTCGCCTTAAGGAACACGGGCTGGCCGATGACGACATCTGCCAGCTGTGCCAGACATGCAAGGGCACCCTGTACCATAGGAGATTCGAGTGTGAGGCCTTCGGCGGAGACAGACGACAATATCTATCTGCTGCCTGTTTGAAGGCGGCGAAAAGAGTGATGGACAGGCGGCGGGATCTTGAGAAGTATGCTGCTGGGGTACTTCCTCATCCTCGCGAACTGATCCCCCCTTCCCTACCTCGTTCCTCCTGCCAGGTGTTGTAGTTCAACAGGCCGGCCTCTGGTAGGCTGAGCGGTAGGGCGGTAGGGTTTTCATTGATGGCTCGGCTATAAGCCCTCAGTGCGTTGACACCCGCAGAGCTGTATGGAGTCCTGTCCAGACTAACGAATGCGGCGATTTGATTTCTGCTGCCTATGGGCCAGTGCCCCCCGTGGCAGCAGGCTAGAGACGGCGAGGACTACGCCTACATAGTGGCGTCAGAGCTTGTTGAACCGTTTTCCGACAACACGTTTTTACGGATTGCTAGGGGACCCTGGGTTGTGTGTTGGACAGGGCCAGCAGCTGCTCTTCCCAGAGTCCTCGCGCGCACCTCTGGGCTAAGGTTTGGCATCTGTGTTGAAAATGGGGTGTCTGCGTCCAAGGTCAAAGGCCATGTGATTGTGGCCGATGTTTCAAACGGCAGATGCTCGGAGGCTGAGCGCCTCGGTAATAAGCATGCTGACAGGTTCGCTAGATTAGGTGCTGCATGCCACCCATTGCCTGAGTTTGGAGCTCCGTTCCCTGTTGATTGAGCACCAGAAGAAGCTGCTCAGATGGTGGGCATGCAAGATGTAATGATGGCTGCTAGAGGTTGGGTGGACTCGTCGAGGTTCCCTGGGCCCGTTGAGGCGGACGGCAACACGGCTCACACCTCCCAGCCTATGCCATCCATGAGTGTTTCTGTCAGGCAGATGCAACGGCTCTCCGAGGTAGGCCGTCGTCGTTGGGCCCCGCGCGTTGATTTCAAGGTGCCCTTTCTGTCTGACACGCCTGAAGATGCACCCGCGGAGGTTGCATGTGAAACCACCCTCTTGCCCAGATTGCAGGGCCATACCTGTGCAAAGCAAAGGTGTTCGTCAGGAACGGTGGGGGGGCTGGCGGGAGCGGGTGGGTGATCTGCTGCTTGAAGTGTGGTGGATATGCTTGGTCTGGCGTCATGTCCTTGGCTACCA